TTTTAAAACTTTCTTTTATTATAAGGCCTTTTCCTAATTAGTTTTATTGTGCTTACTTTACTCAGTTATTTATATTTTTCATCATGTCAGTCTGCTTGTTTTTTTCCGTTCTTTGCATTTAAATATTTAGTGTTTTATCTGTTTGCTTTTATCTGTTCTAATGTCTGATTTATATAACACCTTGTTTTACAAAGGTGCTACATAAAAAAGTCATTTTTATTATTTAAGATCAGGTGTTGGCATCGACTAACTCCAGAGGTAGAGATCCGGTGCTCCTCGATTATTCTCACAACAGTTTGGAGAAAGCAAACATACAAACGGCAGCCATAAACGGATCTCATTTCAAAGAGAAAAACAGGGAGAACAGTCAGCAGATTTTGTTCCAGCGTTTCCCTGGACACATTACAAAAGAGTAACTCATTCAAAATATATATTTGTCAGGCAAGCAAAACCGCTGCTGATGACGGCTCGGGTTGTTTTCTCAGTGCTTTGTGCCAGAGTGTCGTCTCCCTGTAATTAAAGCTGTCTGCCTCAGCAGGCCTGTAAGTGCAGAGCGCTTCTTTCAGCCGGTGTAATGATGTAATGTAATGAACGTCACAACACAAAAGGGTTTTTTAATCCATCTATTAACCCGCTTCTTAAAATGATTTTATGATGACGGTTTTATCTCCAAACTTTAATGGTTCCTGTGCGGAAATGCTGTCGATGGACTTGAGAAAATAGGACCCGTCCCATAATGTGTAATAAAATCTGATCGTTATTCTTGTGTAAATCAAGCGAGCAGGCGGCCTGTTTAAATCCAGGCAGTGACCTCAGGCTGTATGTAACAGATAGCACTGCAGGCGCCAGCAGTTACAATGAAACAGGTGTACGCGGTGAGGATTTAAGAACGAGCTCTTCTTTGAGCGGCTTTCATTTTATGGCCTGAATGTGTGTACGTACACAATAGCAGGACAAAAGTGATAAAAAAAAANGTAGGGTGGATGGGCTCAGCTTTAGAGATAGGAAGTCCAAAGTAGAGTCTCTACCTTTACTTCAAATGAAGCAAGCCAAGGTGGTCTGAACATCTGAACAGGATCCTTCTAGGAGCCTTCCTTTGGAGGTGTCGGAGGACAACTTGGAGGAAACCCCACTAAGGCCTTGGGATCCCCCCTGAAGTAACTGGACAGCATTTCCGGTTAGAGCAATCTGTGGAACACCCTGCTTAGACTGCTGCCAACACAACCCAGCTCTTGAAAAGTGGAAGAAAACATGTGGACGGAACGCAGCTTTGCGTGTGTTTCATTTTCAGTCAAAGGCCTGAGAAAAGCTATTAGAGACAACTAAGTTCACTTCCGCATCCCAGAACTCAACTCTAACATAAAGCAGAACTTACCCGCCTACTTACTCCACACCCGAGGAAAAGACGATCAGCGTGCCGGTTCTTTTCCCAGCTGACCTCTGAAGAAACAGGTGTTTTCACCACTTGTTTGGATGTTAGTAGCAGACAGAAAGAGAGAGAAAAAGGCTCTGATATTCTGTCAGTGATTCCTGATGCCTGTTAATAACAGGCACCTCAGTGAGGCACAATTTTGGCTTCCAGCTCTGAACCGTGGACTTCTGTTCGCTGCGTCTGTTTGAAAAAGCAGGAAAGAAAATCACCAACCAGAGCCTCCAACATGATCTCCAAATAAACCCGCAGATTCAAACTACACCTACAACAAGTGATTTTTTTTTTGGACACAGCAAAAACAGAAACATCCCCCTTGAAGTTCATACGGTGAAATTCTCAGCACAAGTTTGCTTTTCTACACTTCCAACAATTACGGAGCAACATTAGCTCTACTGTTTGGAACATCACTTATTACCGGAGGGCTCATTTCATCTCAAATCATTACATTTTTAGAACAATGCCTCTCTGACCATCTCTGATGCCTGAAAATTTTATAGCATAAAATACAAAAACTTATAAAGACATTGGAGAACCATTTTGAAACTCTAAATATTTGGTAGAACTTGTCATACCTGCTTCATCAGTTAAAAAAGTTCCTTTTACATACACGTAACATTTCAAATATCCATAGTTTATGATAAAAAAAAAGTTTCAAACAAATCAGAGACGGTGGAGCAGAAGGTCTCTGATGATTTGAGATGGAATAACCCAAAGGTTGACGGGTCTTTGGGTCTCAGACTGGCAGTGTCTTCTTTTAAAACTTTCTTTTATTATAAGGCCTTTTCCTAATTAGTTTTATT